TGACATCGATGACAATGTGCGAATTCGATGATTGTTCTGATGAAACCTCCTCAATAGCTTCTTTTACAAGAGCTTCAACAATAAGGTAATGGAATTCAACCTTTCACTATTGCTCACCAACCCTGCACCACCTTTCGATCTACCAGTCCAACTTCTCTGGAAAACGATTCTGATTGAATGGACTGAATAGAGCTTCTAACTAGACCTTTCTATTAGGTTGTCCGGAAAGTTCTGCACGTTTTGTGTTACTATTTTTTGAACATTCATTGCTGATTAAAAACTCATTCTCCCTTGCGTCTCAGTAGTACATCCTGAAGAGAATTCTTTGCGCTATCTGATGGTATAATTGCCGTTTCACCATTGCTTGATAAACCCCCTTTTTTCAAGATTTTTTCAAGCATGTGAAAAGAGCACTTCGGACGATTTTTTCTTCGACTATAAATTGGGGCAATCCGCAATCGAAACAGCTCAACAAATTAACCAGGTGTGGGGGCCCAATAGTGCTAGAGAAAGCACTGTGCGGCAATGGCTCAACAAATTTCGTTCTGGAGATTTCAGCCTTGAAGATGAACCTCATAGCGGTCGACCTAAAGCAATATCTGACGAGGATTTTAGGGGGATTTTGGAGGCTGACCCATCCCAAACAGTTCGAGAGATTGCAGAAAAGCTAGGCGTTGGCAAATCCACTGTTGCAGATGGTCTGAAACGCATTGGGAAGGTGAAAAAACTCGACAAGTGGGTGCCCCACAATTTGAGTGACCGGCAGAAATTGGCACGTCTCGAGGTTTCCTCTTCACTGCTTTTGCGCAACAGAAACGACCCGTTTTTGAACCGAATTGTCACCTGTGATGAAAAATGGGTCATGTATGATAACAGGAGACGTTCCGGACAGTGGTTGGATTTCGACGAACCACCGAGGTAATTTTCAAAGCCGAACCCTCACGAAAAAAAGATTCTGGTCACGGCTTGGTGGTCATCGGCTGGTGTGATCCACTATAACTTTTTATCACCAGGCCAAACCATCACAGCAGAACCCTACTGTGAAGAAATCGACGAATTGTACCGAAAATTTTGTCAGATGCAGCCAACACTTATCAAAAGAAAGGGTCCGATTCTTTGCATGACAACGCCCGCCCACACGTTTCACAAATCACTATCCATAAATTGAACGAATTGGGGGTTGAAGTTCTACCTCAACCGCCATATTCTCCAGACCTTTCACCAACCGACTATCACCTTTTCAAACATTTTCAGAACTTCCTTGCTGGAAAATACTTCATCAATCAGGACCAGGCAAAAAAGCTTCTTCGTGGATTCTCGACCACCCAGTTTTTCCTTTGATGGGATTTCTCGACTGCTGTCACATTGGCAAAAGTGTGCTGATTCGAATGGTGCCTATTTCGATTAAATCCGATGAGTATTAATCGTATTTACTTTCTGAGAGAAATTGGTGGCGTTGGGTAAAATCTTTCCCCGATAACTTTTCGCGGTTTTTCTCGTTCCTCGTGCTAAATACCTCCCCCTCCCCGTCCCTTAACCCCAACGCTCAGCACTCACAGCTTAATCGTATTAGAGGAGGGATAGGGGGGAGGTCGTGTCAAGTCACCTTTTAGGGGGTGGGTCGTGGCCTGGTACAGGGTCGATACGCCTAGCACGAAAGGAAAATGTACTCCTTAGGCACCGTTCAGACTTCGCGACGGCAGCGCTTCGGTCGCGCCTTTGACGCGATCGATGCGCATGCTTTCGACTGCATCGATCGCGTCGAACGCGCGACCGAAGCGCTGCCGTCGCGAAGTCTGAACGCTGCCTTAGGGTGCTGCGTCGCGCCTTCTGGAACAAAGGGCACCGTTATAGCGCCTAGCATGGTGACGCACGCCGCATCGTTGTTGGCAGATGCGCATGGAAAACTCGCGCAAAAATGCACTTCCAATGCCACGAAGAACAAAGGCCATTTTCACAAGTTTTTTGCAGGTGAACTTCACTTTTTCGTCATTTTCTCGCCCCTTATATTGCACCCCTGCTACTATTCCTGAGCAAAGCCAAATTATCGTGCCTCACGCTTTCAAGGTTAGATTTAAATAGCCAGCGACTTACCGCATTTTCCGGATGAAACGAATAACTAGCTGGCGAGTTGTCAATAATCAGCACTTTACTTAGATCCCTACCAAGCCTCGCCAAATCCTAAAAGTATTTTGTAAAAACCCATCGTTCGAAGGAATCGTTTTTCCTTAATTCGAAGCCTACCTTGACGTAGTTCCACTAATTGTGATAGACCGCAACGCCTGCTCTCGGAACAATCGAGATCGAAACACCCCGCGCTTGTCGAGAAGATCAGCGACAGGGTCGGCGTACTGAAAATTTTGACTGATTGAATAGACGTTCATTTTCGCTAAAATAGTGTAGGGTCAGGTTGCTTTTAGCTCGATAACTGCTATTTAATGCCGCAGGGCGTACTCCGAAAGCGAGAGTGCTGCGTTATGGGCAAAAGCCAGACTTTGGACGGAACTTGAACCCGGATCTTACGCTTAGCGGACGATTGCGTTATCCATTCACATTAACGGGGCCACTCTTACCCTCTCCGGTTACCTCCTCAGATGTTAAACAGCAGTTATTAAAGAAAAGCAGCTTTCAAACAGGTAAAACCGTCAGCCTCACGGTTCGCTGCCGATATCGGCCAACCGGCTCATCATGTTGGGCGTGTGAGTGCTGTATGGCCATGGCCAAAATGCGGCGAGCTGAGCTACGGCCAATGCCAAAATGCTACGAGCTGAGAGGGGGTAGGAGTGGTGCCGGTAGCGTAACGATAACGCCACGGCCCGGTAAGCGGGAGATGCGGGTTAAATCCTCTCCAAGGTCTGACTTTTGCGCATAACCCAGAACTCTTGTGGTAAAGATTGGGTTGCGCACCCATTCTACTGCTATTCACAATCGTAACGGCTAATTGAGTTCGTTGTAACATATACAACTCTGGCGAAGTAGAGGGTGTGGCGGGTGTACAGTCGATGAAGTTCTTACCCTCCCGAGCAAGACTGGTGCCAATGTACCGTCCCCGGAGGGCAGAACGCTTGTTTGACCTGGGAAATTCAGAAAGGGGACCGCTTCATGTATGCACTCGGGTACGCTGACCGGATTGAAGCGCTTCTAACTCAACAGAAAGCTCTGGTGCTACTTAATTGTTAAACGCTCACCTTGGCAAGACTGGCTGTGAAGAGCACACACTCGTATCGATCGCCAATTCGAGCGAGAAACTCGTCCACATATGGTCGCTTTAGCACGTACACCTGATGCACGATGCCGTCGATCTCAACCGGAATCACAAAGTCCGGATTCTTGACCGGCTGAACAAACGATCATAAAAAGCTGTTTGTTAGACGTATTTCATTGCACCGATAGCTGCTGAGCAGCAGAAACATTTCACAAGAGAAAAAAAATTGAGCAGAACATGACTTACCTTGAAAGAGGAATGGACCAGCGTCTCATCGAGGTCGATTGAATAATGACTTTTGTTGGCATCCGTCGGCCGCACCGGTGGAAGAAGGAATTTCTCACCGGAAGCCTAAAACAGAGCAGACCTTTTTGAAGTAATTTTTGGATTACAAAACCTTTTTTGACTCTTGACTGACACGGCTTCGTGGATCGATACTTATGAGAAATGCATGCGTCTCGCAGTTCACTGCATAGTCATTTTACATAAGAGATTTCGCAGTCCGTTGGATTACTGTTACCGTAAACCAGGGCAGTGTTTCCTTTTCACCGCCCTTTAACGGCTTGCTTCAGTCGCCAAGGGGATGAGTTAGTACGGCTGAAGCGCACCAGACGATCAAACGAGTACCACAGAGGCGGGATAGTATGGGCAACTACGGTGTCACTTATTCGCTGGACTGCAAACACTCTTTCCATGTTTTTATACATGATTTACACACGTTTTACATTGTAAATCCTTATCACATCCCTACAACGGCCGGCTTCAGCAGTAGCATTACCCTCCAGTACACCACCCAAAAAATTAAAAAGACACCTACCTTGCGCTTAGTGTAGCCCAAAAGACCTCGCTTGATGATCTCATCCGCGGTCGGAGTACGTCCGGGTCGGAGTACGAGATTCCGAATGAACACCTGACGGGTCTTCCCGTGATGCAAATTCTTCGATAAATGTTCGTTTAGAGCGCATGGTTTCTACGCTCTTTTGTCTTGCACGATGAAATACAGGTAGTATATTCTCAACTAAATACAGGGCCGTTGAATTGTTGCAATGTAGCTCATCACGAAATGAACATCATGAGCGAAACGGATATAAGACTAAACAAAACGGTTTGAGGAAGTCAGCAGACTTCGAGAACGGTCCGGGAATGACCTATGAAAAAGGAATAAGCACATTGTGTTTGAAGTAGTGTCGTCCGCAATGGAAAACATGCAATGGAAAGTTGTGAAATAAAGTGGTTTTGTGAAATAAAGGGGTTAAGGCTCAAAGCTGCTCCACTGGCACCTCCTTTCCCAGTAACTCCGCCTCCAGACCCCGCCTTCAAAGTCAGCCTTTCAGCCAAAAGCCATGCTCTCGGAGAAGTAGCGCGAAATGGATGCTCATCTGTCTTTTATGGGGTCATGGGGTTCATTGCAAGGAATCAGCCGGCCGGATCGAGGCAACGTGGCCCTTTGCCCTTCTACCCGTACCAATGTTTGAGGCTGCAGGGGTCTGCTAAAGGAGTTGCAGCTGTTTCCTTTAGCTTTCCTCTTCACAGACGAGTCACCTTACAACTTACCCTTACTTATTCTCAACATCACTACCCGCTCCTTATAACGAACCGTGCCTTAAAGGCACATTCCGCGATAAAATAAGGCTATGACCTCTCAAATGTGTCGGACGATCCGGAAGGCGATTTTTGAGGCTGCGCTACTTTCAAAATGTGAAAAACGGCAAGAACTCCGCTAGAAGCTGACTAATTAGGCCCATGGACACCCCTTAGGCCCATGCCGACCCTCACCGGCTGCTAGCTACTAGCTAGTAGCCACTATGTTATCTTTCTCTATAACATTTCGGACTGCTTTTTCTGCTGCTTTTCTCCGCTAATCAGATACTTAGCACTTTTTGAAGCCTATTTGAGTTCCGTTTCCCGCAATTTGCGGTCGCGGACTGTGCCTTTAAAGGCAAGTAAGATTTGTAAAGATGATAGAAGGGTAACAGATGATTGAAGTTTCGAGTAACCATTTCCGAGAAGGTTAAATGGGAAGAATAGATTTTTACGATTAAGCATAGGCTCCGCAAAAGGAAAAGAAGCGCTGGACAGCTTCCTCTACCTTACACAGACTCTGAAAATACCACAATGAAAACGATCAGATGAGACAAGATCGCGCGAATGAAAATATCACAATGAAAATGATCAGATGAGACCAGGTCATGATGACAAATGCACATGATGAACATGTCGCCCACGAAAGCCAAGTAAAGTTCGTCTTCGAGCGCGATACTAACTCGTATCCGTGAAATATCGATCAAGAGTAATAAAACTATCAAACTGGAGGGAGAGTGGTCCGGTCATGTTTCACCTCATGAACAAGGTATGGAGGTAGAATGGAACTGGCATCATTGCTAAACGGATTTTCATAATATATATTCAGAGCTTAGGTTGTTTTCTATATCAGTGGGGGTATTTGCGCCTTGTTAAGCCACGAACGTCACGTGAGCGTCAATACCTGAACGTTAGAATAGGCATAACATATATGGCTACTTCCAAAACAGCTACATTCATGAGAACAGGAAGTGATGTTTGAGAAGAAGGGAAGATATTCCGACCAAAGAGCTCTGCGTAGGAGGTTGGGGGGGAAAATCCTAATCCTGTCGTCACAACGAAACCCTTGTAATCCTTGTCAAAACAGTGAGATGTACGAAATTGTTTCCGATGGAATCATATGTAGTGTGTGAAGCAAGAAGGACAAAGAGTGGAGGTACGGTGCGACGAAACAAGCGACTCCGAGCTAGATGAACCATTTCTCCCAATGTACGAAGATCACTTTGGACACCATTTACATGGGTCACCCACACGGGCGCTCATTCATCTGAACAGACTGCAGTTCTCAGGACACCTTTCTACATTAACTGCCGTCCAGCATAAAACGTCGAAAGAACAGCGATCAAACAAAACTAGTAAAACCTTGTACATCTTCAGTAGGGTTTACAGGATGTTATAAAAATTTATGGCACTCTGACGCGAGGGTTCAACATGCCATCATAGCGGGAGAGCACCCAGAGTACTGATTTATTAAAAAAATAGCCTAATCAGAGAATCAGAATATCAAATTTTGAGGTCCCCATTAACAACTATTTATTTATTTATTTATTTGAGTACACCCGAGGGTGTGCCACAGACCTAAGCAATTAGATTAAAAAAAACAGGAAATAGAATTGTGAAAAATGAGGGTAAGAACGAGGGCGAGGCTGTGCGAGTAAGTTCTGAAAGGGATAAAAACCCGGACCTTCATAGTGACAGAACCGTAAGGTCATTGTTCCCGTTCTATTAACTATTCACAGATTACTGAAATGGACCTAATCTATGCTGAGATGGTGTCCTAGCGAGTGGTATGCTTGCCAGGTGTACGATCCGTCGAAATCTAGGATCGGAACATCCGAGCAGCTATCGGTATACAAGGTTGTCTGGGAGCTATGATTGACTTGGTTACATCGTTAGCCCCCGCAAGTCATTGCATAGGTCACATCGCAATTCAGTAACTCACTACGATTTTTAATGGAAGTAGAATGCCGCACCCCAAAAAGGGATTGAGTAACGACGAAGGCTATCTTTTAATGGACCTATCCAAAATTGCTTGTGTCCCATGAACAAACCAGAACACCGATTAAAGACAGTTTTGGCACGATGGTTTCCTCTATAGACTGAACTGCTAAGTAAGGGCTGTATTAGGAAAATGGCGAAAGAACGGTACAGAAAAGAAAATGAAACGTCAAAATCTTGGCGAGAAAGCCTACGTTCGTGGCTTGTAAATTGATTTCGGACGAGTTTCCCATAGGCATCTTACCAATAACCGCTACCGAAGGTACGGCTGCATATGTGTACCCATGTATGCATGCAGCATCACGGCCGCTTCATACCAATCCCTTCGCTTCATAATTTGCTTAGCAAATGAATGAATACGAGCGTCAGGAACGGTCGTCCATTTGTGGGCGGGCGGGCGTGGCGGGCGTTTGGGACGTAAAGTTGTGGCTTGATAGGGCCCTTATAAGGGCACCTTCCTCGGGGAAACCGCTATGCAGCGCCTGCCCAGGGTCGCGGAATTCTATCCTGCCAGGAGTATTGATCCTAGTCGTCTTGGGGGATTTATCGTGCCAACTGCCTTTAATAAAAGGTCGTCGACGTTTGCCATTGTCAGTAGAAGCGGAAAGAGAGCCATTTATAACACTGAAGACCCTATTCACATCCTAATTTTCTCGCACGATGCTAACCATAAGATATAGGCGATATGCCCTTGATATTGCGCTTAGCTCCAATAAAAATAGAGCAGTAACCCCTGAGGGCTGGAGTTCGGAATACTGCACGGCAGTCCCGTGAACCCTTTGTCGTAATCCCATTTTCACCGACAGTAACACCCTTACCTTCGCTCTTCTCTTTGGATTGTATTCCTTGGTAAGGGCACAGCATAAGGCACCACGCCACACTCGCGGGGTTAATTTGCACAAGGTTACCAACAGGTTATTGGACTATGTTTCGTCCTGCTGCCCACTTGGTCGTGAGAAGTGAACTCTTTTCAGTGAGTGGCTCTTATTAGAGCTGCGTGAAGATATGCTTTGATCTCGGATTTCACCAGGGTGGTAGCGACTTTTCTGGGGTAGTCTTAAATTTGTCTTGATCCTTTCACCTTCTGAAGAAAGTGTTCCTGCCGAATTTGAGGCTAAAAAAACCTGCTCAGAACTAGGTGCAGACTGAAACGTAACTAAGCATACTGCAATCGCAGATACAAGAGGATTCTGAGTTTTATGCAAATCTGGATGCGAGTTCTACAGGCGGAGGCGAGTAACAGGGTTGAACACTTCTACGTGAAGACTAGCAGGGCGCGCGATAAAAAAGAAGCTTTCGTCTTGGCACTGGTATGTTCGAAATGCGGCACTACTACTACTACATCCATTCAGGATTGTACATACTGTTCACTTGAATGAGTAAAGGTTTATACAGTGGCTTGGGGAAATGCAGCCGGTGTGCTAGTCAGTATTTTATACACCCAAACGAACCTGGAACCAATATACTTCCTCGTAGGAGTGGGAAACGGTGGACTTGATTGGCCTAGGCGGGAGCCGTTGCGAGATTTAATCTCCGAACCTCGCGCGTGGTAAACTGGCCAGTCGGCACTGCGCCAGCACCGCTTCACCTATAACCTCACTGAGTTACATAAGCCTTTATATACTTTACTGATGTGCGAAGGTCGAAGGCAGGGCACATTCCGAGAGGATAAATGCACATATGTAGCGGCTATGGTGCCCGGAGTTATATGCTATCGAACTGCTTGAGACATCGCGAAAATAAATTAAAATTAAGCAAATTCTCGAACGAGAACTGAAAACGAGGAAGAACTGAGGGTGCTTCCTGTCGGCTTTAAGAACGTGAACGAAAAAGAACAAGTGAATTCATATTTGCGCGATTCCAAGCTGAATACCGGTTCACGCTGAGCTAATAACCCGCAGAGCCGTTCAGCCAATAGATTAGTTCTAGGCATTACATACGCACACGCATATTCTTCCTGTTCATCTATCTGGTCCTTGAATCAGCCAGCGCTGGGAGAAAATGTGGACTTTCTGAGAGACGTGGGGCGCTAGATGAGATTGTG